CGTTGCCAACTGTCTTTTAGATGCGGTTATTTATATGACTCATCTGGCGGATCTCGAGAAATCTAAGTTTTTAGGTTCCGGGGGAAGTATGGTTGCAAAGCTTTGCGATTGGCCGGAAAACTGTGTTGACGCAAAGTGATTTCTGCCCACTGCTTTGAATATTAACGTGAAGAAATTTAAAAAGTACGGGTATGATCGATAGAACCGTGAGTCAACATCATCATAGTTCGGTTAGAGTCTCGACACTCAGATGAGATACCGTTCGCGGCGCGAGACCAATATTTTATTGATCTCTTTTGCACGTACCCTGGGGGGGGGGGTGAACACTTCTATGTCCGAGTCTGTTGAAATGGTACGCTGGCAGTGAACATGAATACTGTGTTCAATGTTTATGAAAGATCGGTTAACAATAGACTAGCAACGTTTTGAGAAGAATCGTTGGATTACCTGTGGCAGTAATGCTTCGATTTTGATCTAACGCGCCTATTCAGAAAAAAGCTAGTCATTAGCAATGTTGAACAAGAGAATCATCATAGTCTTGTTCAGGTATGCGCGTTCTACTGCTGGATGTTGCCGAAACAACGCTCAGTCATGATAGTTAGTAACCTAGCAAATATACTCACCCCTTTGGTACGGAGACTAGCATCCTCTGGTCGATTGTAAATCTCGCTCTTGCTGGCGAGAATTACAATATTTTTACGTCACAGGTCAACACCGATGGTGATTTGCACGAGAGCATTGAAGTAGTAGGGGGTAGCGCTATAACATCGAATCAATCCAATTCTTGTGGCTTTCATTGTTTATATCATCTTCTGGAATTTGATATGCTTGCAGTGGGAGTCATAGGGGATCCTTTGAGGACGATTACCTTATTCAACAATGGTAATCGAGTTCACATATAATAGTATGTGCTGGCAAAAAGTACATGAACACGTGGTAATCAGATAGAAAGGAATAGTGGTTGTCAACACGGTCGTTTTACGTGTGATCACGGTTACGGCAGGGCGTCAATGGTCTTACTTGCTGACCATGTAAATGCAAGAAAGTTTTTAGAAATAAAAAGAAAATAGCCAAATGCCTCGTCATCTAATTAGTGACGCGCATGAGGGCCCTGCAGATACCTCCACGATACTAAGATTAGACAAATCCTAAAAAATTATATAACGTATACGTACGTCCGCGCTGTTCTATATAACTGAAAAGCTTTCTGAATTTTCGAATTCCAAAGCTTATGTCTAATTGCGGTGGGCCCGGAACCGGCGAAAACGAAAACGCCCGGCGACCGAATCTGCGAAATATAGGCACAGCGCAAAATTTGCCTTTGGTTAGACGTGGTTGTGTCACTCGGTCAGCAAGAGCGGCCAACCCGTCTAATTTCAATATTTTAAATCCTATTGCTGACATTCGTGCAGCATCACCCAAACTTACTCATCCGTCCGATGAAAGTCCCTTGGGACGAGATAAAGGGCTGAGTAAGGATGCTCCTGTTAAACAGGGGAAAACAGGCTTGTGGACGGAGATAGAGATCACCGAGCTTCGACAACTGGTTAGTAGCAATACTAACCACGCCGGGACTGTGTCCTGGGTCAAAGTTGAAAAAGCTTGGAGACTGATTGCAAATCTCCCTGAAAGATCCAAAGCAAGTCTTAGCAGTAAATGGCATGATATAAAAACTAAATCTACCATTTTGATTGCTGATGATACCAATCAGACTCAATGCAGTCCTGATACGAATCCAGGTAACACGGTTACCGGGTTCCCCTCGAGTGTAACAACTACTGATACCGCCCAAGTGACGGCCAGTAACACTCTTGGGATAAAAGCAGTTGTGGGAGACGAAGAAGAGAATCAATGTCCACCGGTTGATTCCCCTGATGCGCTCATTCAATTGACCTTCAGGAAAAACCTACAAAAAGCACGAAAAATAGGTTGCCAGATGACGTTGAGGAAACCACCAAATAGAGTCTCTGGCCAGCATATCAAACCTATTATCTGCGTAGTAGACGGTCTTATAAAAAGTGAACTACATAAAAAAGGATCATGTCGACTTACTTGGAATCAACTGTCGGTTCTGGTTTTTGCCGGGGCGTTGACAGTCTCTGAGTTAGGCAATCAGTTTACAACTGAAAAAGCTGAAAAAAGACAGGCATGGTTCAGTAGTTCATATAGAGAATGTGATAATCTGCGAAGAGTAATCGGTAAGGCTACCGCTGAACTGAGACGTCGTAAGAGATTGAGGAGAAAGAAAGGTGCTCAAGCAGCGCCAACTATGCAACAAGTTGCCAATATTAGGATGCTTGTAAAAAAGTACAAAGCAGTCTCCT